AGAGAGAGAGAGAGAGAGAGAGAGAGAGAGAAGCATTGCTTTGCAAAGCGTTAATTGCAATCATTAATACTAGGCTTACTTCCACATCGTCGTAAAATTCTTCTTTTTTTTTGATCGCCCCATCAGTGATAGATACATCGATAGATGAATCATTATCCAAGTTTCGTTTCGACTCGATCCTCGTAGCGTCTATTTGCAAAAGTGTAACGATATCGTCGTACGTCTCTTGAGACGATATTGCATCATAGGATTTACCTTCCTTCAGCTTCTCATTTCTCTCGTTTTTTTTGTTGCGCGCACCAATGTCATCATATGCGATAGCTTCCTCCTGCTTTTCGTCACTAACACTAACCTGCTTTTCTTTTGGTAATATCATATTTTGATAACGCATTTCATTTCTTAGATCTTCGATTCTGTGATAAATGTCATCATCATCGTCGTCATCACCATCGACGGTTGCTTTATAAGAGGATACTGTAAGAATCTCGTTATCGGGAGGTAAAGAGGGAAGCCTTCGAGATATTCGAGCAGGTAGCGAAGGCGCCTTTTCGTCTGTGTTCTCTTTTCGCTCAACTTTGTTTCTGTTACTCGGCAATTCGGCTTTGACCGTTAAATTATCGACGACAACTAATTTTTCAGCATCTTGATGTCGCGTTGCCTCAGTCGCGTTACTACAGCTGCGATCTGTTAGCGAGGATTCGATGATAGTAGCCTGCTTTTTCTTTTCGTGAGCTTCCATTGCTTTGTTCTTTTCGCTCTCATTGCAACATTCTATTTCACAGATTTTTGCTATCCATTGATCCATCTCCTCAGGCGTTCTCGCAATAAACTGTAACGTTTGGTTTCCAGGACTATATATCTCGAAGGCTGATTCGCTCTTTTGTCGGTCACGGGGAATCATATTTGGCGCCGGACGGGCCTTATATCCCCGAATCGAATAGATCGCATACGGTCGATTATGCCGTTCGCTTCGATAGATGAGCAGATGCGATCCAACCAATGCGATCCAGCAAGCACGACTTTCTGATAGAAACAATTTCTTTCCTTCTTTCCTATAGAGCGGGCCGCATTTGTAACACTTGCTTTTAATTTGCATCGCCGAAACATTTTTGTAAATTCCGATCAGCATCTGGCCCCCCTCGTCCCGATCGTCGCTTTGCTCGAGGTATTTCACATTCGTGATCGATGACGCGCTTGCGGTCTGGAGAGAGCCATCGAAGGTTTCGTAATAATCCTGATGAGTATGCGTGCGAGGATGGATCTGGATACGCTTTTGAGATTCTTCCATTCCAACGTATTCTTCTGAATCGGCTTCACTCTTGGTCAACAATAAGCTTTTCAGCCCGGACTTCATATCCAAGTAAGGTTCCGGGGATGACGCTCGAGCCATCGTGGCGCTTAAAATATTTTTCGACCGTACCAACAGCTTCTCCCTCAAACTCTCGAGCGTAAGCGGAAGCTGCGCGTCGCCAAGACATTCCAGAAACGTTATCATTTCTGTCAACAGAATATACACCTATGTATACATCCCGCAATAGTTTATATTCATTTGCGAAGAACATAAAAAATTTCCCATATTTGTTGTTCTGTTTATACATACCTCGCAGTACTTGCAATATATCGTTAATATTCATGTCGATTTCCATATTGTTGTATCTGTGTCGGTGCACTCACGTGCTTGCTTTTAAGAAATAATTGCCTGAGAAGCCTGAAATTTTCCATCAAAAAGATTTATAACAATAGTAAAGCTTACTATATTAACTAGTGAAGTCTATAGTGTACTGGAGCGCACCATTAGAAGAGTAGAGGTGTTCCACTCAGTCTCCAACAATTACACTCTGATGTAAAAATTATAATATTTCTTTGTTAGGGACTCGCTGATTGGCTAATACTGATTTTTTTTTTGTAAAAAAGAGTTAGAAAGACAACTATTTGTTTACCTTCCTTTTCTCCGGCAGGTCGCAGTTTTTTATATCAATACAGGGAAGGCATGTTTTAATATATTATAGAACTCACTTATATTAGCGACATTTTTATATTTTAGTTCCTACAGGATGTACCGCGCGAGATACAACCATTGCAGATAAGGCTTTATCAAGCATTTAATTTTCAACAGTAAAAACCATATAAGTGAGATATTTCCTATCTCGTACCTATTATTCTACATAACATAATATTTATCTACTGTTATAAAAATAGTTGCTAAACTATTTTATGTGTACAATATATAACGTAATTAACACAATGTGTATTAATTCAAGAATACAACGTAAAATGTACAACTCATATATAATATATGATATTTTGCACTAGAAATTGAAAAAAATGAGTCATTAATATGACATGTAAAACAGATCGTCTTTCTATCATACTAAATATCCGGCGAAAAACACGACGTCACGTCGTCTAAGTTACTTCGATCCGAGCTATCGTTGTCTATCCAGGAAGAATTCCTTGAACGTTTTATTCGATGACGCAGCCATGTTTGCCTCGTTGCCCGTTGAGTTTTATTAACTTTAAACGCTCGACCGTTCGTCCACCTCAGATCACGTATTCTTTATTCTGCAAATTCTCAAGTACCGCCCTTTCGATTCATTCGCTGTAGCTTTTATTTAAACTTGAATTAATTTTGAGCTCTAATTAAATCAAACTTAGGGGCGTAGCACAAATTATAAGTAAGAACTACTGGAACTGAACTTTCCTACGGGTGGCAAAGTACGTAGAATATAATTATGGAGAGATGTACCGAAAGAAGGAAATTTACAAAAAAGAAAGAAGAGGATACTTACCAGGTTCAAGCAGAGCTTTCCCTGAGACTCGAGAGGATCACGCAGGACGAAGAGATTCGTTTGAACTGCGTATCAGCTGCGCGGTTAAAATGAAAGGAACGTTGATAAATAGAGATGCATTGATTCTCGAATGATCCTCGGACTTGATATCATCCATGTAACGTCAAGTGATTGTCGTCTCTTAGAATTCAATTAGCGCGACGTGACACGTGCGAGGGACATAAGACGACTCCCGCAGAGACGTTCGTATCCAGTCTCGTCTGTCTCGTACATCTTCGCGCGTTGGTTTTACCATGTTAGCTCCGCCGCGCTTCCCCTACGCCTCTTTCTCGATCTGACTCATTCATCGAGTCTAGCTACCGTTACCATTATCCATTTCGTCGTTCTGCCGTTCTCTGTTCTACTCTCTAATTCTCACTCTCTCGTCATTTAAAACGATCATCAGTTTTAATTGATCATTTTTTCTTCGTCGACGAAAGAAATGACAAGACTCATTCTTTTAATCTGCATGATCCTCTCTATCTAGCGCGATCTCGTAAAGAGGACATTGACTTTACTGAAAAATTCTTCAAATCTCTATATGGAAGATCGATTGCAATTGCTTTCGTGACATCAACATCAGATCAATCGAAAAACAGTCGGAATCAAGATTAATTCGTGTAGGTTTATTATATGTATATTGAATATGTATATTGAATATTTATTTGTAACACATGAAATCGAGAGGATTCTCCTACGTAATGTAACCTGCACCGCACGTTTACTCGGCATGAAAAGTCAATAACAAATGCAAATAATTATAATATTAAACGTATCCAAACCTAAACTATTTGTTTCATATGAATCGTTTCTGAAACGAGAATATAGACTGCTACATGAATATCGTCATGAATATCAACTACACTGTAAAAAAAGATCAGGAAATTCAACCCGAATTGAAGTAAACAAATTCAATCTCAGAGTTAAATATGGCGAACTAACTGTTGGGTTGTGTCAAGAAACATTTTAATCTCCTTTTAATATTTTCCTTGTATTAAATAAAAATATTGAATTTATTTCTATAAAATATTTATATAGTTGACTAAACTATTATTGATAGTAAACAAACATAATTGTATCGTCAATTAAAATAATTTTATGAGCACGATGAAATAAATCTGCAGTAGAATAGATTGATTTTAACATTTGACTGGACTATTCTACAAAGTAACAACAATTCAAAAATCGTTGATAATAACAATTTTGAGATAATCTCTACTTTGTCTTTGAGTAAAGTAGACTTAATAATTTATCTAATATGACAATTCATTAAATTTATTCGATTCCGTTACTCTTTGTAACATGATTTAATTAATCATTAAAACTTTCTATCATATATAAGTAGAGCGATTGATTAGTAGCCGCTTTGAAAAGAATGTTTGTCGCCATGATGTGGCAAGAAGTGTATAAAAAGACCATTTGATCATCCTCGCTTTATAAGTAGACGTCGAATATCTCTTACGAGTATACGCGCCATCTGTTGATAGCTCCATAAAACATTTTCTCGCTCTAAATCAAAGTGAAATATCGTTAATAATTTATTCCTTATTATTTTTAAGTCCTATTATTTTTAAGTTACATTCATGTTCATTTATTATCAATAATGATTCAGTTAATTTTGTAAATATGCTTATGACTATATCGCTCCATTGCATTGAATTACGTAAATAATTAGTTAATAATGTACTTTTCTCTATGATTGATTCGATCTCCATGTAGATGCAGATTTATTATTATTATGCAGTTAAATCATTCTTGTAATAGTTGCTTGAATGAATATCTATTAATACACTTAACTATATTTCAAATCGGTCAATCATATACTTTGATTAAATTTTTAAGAATTCTATTACGTGAAATTATTCATCTAATTAGTGAAATTATTCGTCTAATTAGGATTTCTTTAATATGTTAATGTTACTTTTGGTTGTAATTAGTCGAGCTCAAAAAAAAAAGAAGAATCGCTTTTATTGACAGCTTTTAAAAAGTTTCAGATTGCTGCTCCACAATTTTAAAAGTCATTAAAAGATACGTGTGTTTCGCTTCTGTATGCGTGAAATATTTTTAGCAAAAATACATACATAGTCATGTGAACATGTCAAACATGAGTAATTTAAATCTTACGAAAGTATAAGAAATCACAGAATAATTAATAATCCTTTATGTCACCTTTCAGAATAATTCCCAAGGGACTTTACCCCGAATTTTTTCTAATGGTTTGACATAAAGGTCGGCCGAGATTTCCGATATTTCTGGCCACTGATCGGTTTTGGCTTGTTCTATGTGCTCTTCGATTTCTTTGTAAACTGATGTTCGTATGTCCTGAACACATAACAAATAATTAAATTAAAACAGTTATCATTTTGCGTCAGTTGTCATCGTAAATTAAAATTTAAAGCACAACTTTGTTCATTTTAAAAAAGAATTAAAAAAAAT